TTTGCACTTCTTTCATAACTGTTAGGTTAAAACATTCTTTCATATACACATTGGCCATGTATATTTCTATTGAAAACTGGCTTATTTTGTTTCTTTCTCTACTGAGTGTGGGAAAGTTGAATTTTTAACTTATATCTAAATACTAAGTAGAAGAATAATTTCACTACCAATATTGCTACCAATGGAAAGTGAAGTTAAAGACCTATGTTAATCTATCCACAATCGATTTTGTTCACTGTTTTTTTTCCTCCAAAGTAGTACATTTTCTCCCCAAGTGAAATGTAGCTGTGGTAAGCGAGACCTGGATTCTAGTTCCAGTAGGCCATTTAGACTTCAAGCATAGTCCAGCATAAAGAGTGAGCACAGTGCAGACTCCTGTCCAGGGCCATACTGACAACTCAAGCCATTTCCTCTCAACTTGGATTCACTCATCCTTCAAGCAATGGTTCTCCTCTCTTCCTTTAAGTCTACCTGTATCTCAGTGCACGATGGTGGGAAAGTCCATGTGGTTTTTTTCCTGGAGAGGGTGTGGATTCAAGAGGACCCCATTAAGAGTTAGAATAGCTCTTTACTGGTCACTGTACTGCTGGCTACCTTTCTTGCTATGGCAAGCAATTAACTTTTTGGAAGCTCATCTTTCTCCTCTGTAAAATAAGGATAATTATATCTACATTCTTCCACTCTGAAGATTATTGTGAGGCTCGAATGAGATAAAAATGGGTTAATATCCATAGATGAGGTGTAATGCAAAGGTAAATTATTGTCATTATCCAAGCAAGTTACAGATCAAACTCAGGGGAAAAGGAAGGCAGAGAAAGTAAGTTAAAGAGCAACCTTACAGGAAACAGCAAAATTTACCTAAAATTTACACCTACACTTAGAGAAAATGGCTGGCACAGAAATGAATACATTTCAAATTTTAAAAAGTTCTCTGTGGCTCTGCTTGAAATAGAGGGTTTACAATCTTTACTGAAGTCCCTTGATTTCCCCCAGATGAATCTTTGAGTGAATACCTGCCAAATTGCTCACCCTTTTACTCAGGACAGATTAATATTTTTTCCAGTGTTTGAAATATAATTCAGTAGATATTTATTGAGCTGTTACTATATACCAGGAACTGTGATTATAGAACAGTGAACAAAATAAACATCATCTCTGCTTTCATGAAACTTTGGGTCTGGAGGAAGGTTTGTCATATGTATATGTCTCATGTCATAATGTATTATTATAAGTTACTGTTGTTACAATTTATGATGGGAAAAGAAAAGACTGGGTTCCAAGGATAAAAAAATATGCTGAAGGAAATTCTTTTGACATTTTAAAGAAAAGTGTTATAAAGGAGTTTTCAGACTCTTGCAGTTAGAATTTCATGGCAGAAAAATATCAGTCTCTTACTTAGAATGCATATTATTTTGAATCAACCTTATGAGGATAAAGGAATTGTTACTATTCTGTGTGGAATAGTATGTTTCTGGAATGAGAAGGAACGGCACCCCATTCCTGGGGTGGAAAATCCCATGGATGGAGGAGCCTGGTAGGCTGCAGTCCATGGGGTCGCTAAGAGTCGGACAAGACTGAGCAACTTCACTTTCACTTTTCACTTTCATGCATTGGAGAAGGCAATGGCAACCCACTCCAGTGTTCTTGCCTGGAGAATCCCAGGGACGGTGGGCTGCCATCTATGAGGTTGGACAGAGTCGGACACGACTGAACTGACTTAGCAGCAGCAGCAGAACTAGAAGTAAAACTTAGCATTACAGATTAGAAAGAGTCATAAAATACGAAGTTTATGAATAAACTCATATCTTTTATTGAAAGGACTTGTACTTCATTAAAATTTATTTTCCCTGCAATTGTCCAAGAGACCTGGGAATAACTCTCCTTTGTTTTTAAATTAGGGTCATGAGTCCTAGAGAGGCAAAATGATTTGCCTTAGGTAGCCTGGTGACCGACTTGTTAAGAACTAAATAGAGGACCTACTGGGACTGAGTTACCTTTTATGTGGTTTTAAATGTAAGTTTAAAGTATGTGTCAGGGATATTAAACATTTTATTTTTAGAAAGAAAAGGTACCCTTTTCCTTCAAGCAAATGCAGGAAAAATATGGTGATCCTTGATGAATTTCAACAGTTTGAAAACCTACACACACACGCATACATGCACACCCACACACGAACTTGTCCAGTTTTTTTTTTTGAAGTATAGTTGGTTCACAATGTTTTGTCAATCTCTGCTGTATAGCAAAGTGACTCAGTTATACACAGACATTCTTTTTTAATGTTGTTTTATATTATGGTTTATCATAGGATACTGAACATAGTTCCCTGTGCTATATACAGTGGGAACTTTTTGCTCATCATCCTACAAAAAATCCCACACTCCCAGTCCTTCCCTCCCCATTCCCCTTCTCCTTGGCGGCCACAAGTCTGTTCTCTATGTCTGTGAGTCTAGAACTTGTCCAGTTTTAATTACACCTTTTTATAGTCAGTAGGGGTATATGTGACAGTAAATATACAAAGATTGATCATAAGAAGTAATAAAAATAAGAAGTAAAATATGATTGTTAGTCTCTTGCTTCAAATCTCAAAGTCTCTTGCTTCTAGGGCTCAGCCTGAACCTCTCTGCTGGGGGCCCACTTGAGGGTCTTTGCATTTCTTCTTTCTCGTTGGCGTCAGCCTCTCCGGTCTTCAATGCATCCATGAGTTAGTAAGCTCCTGTTCTGCTCTTCACCTCTTCCACCTCATCATCTCTTTTCTTTTTTTATTCTGCCTCATCATCTTTCAATGCTTAGCTTGGATAGCTTGAAGCCTTTTCATAACTGCCCCTCAGCCTGACACTGAATCACCAAATAAATCTGGGTCTTAGTTACTCTGTCTGTGTGCTTGCCTGCCATACTGCTCATAGCTCCATCACAGCAGAAATTCCATGGCATTATAATTACATTCATACAACATACATAGAACACATATACTGTGATTGTAATAACTTGTCTGTCTCCTTCACCAGATTTGAGAGAAACTTGAGAGCACTTTAGATAAACATTTCTTTTATCTTTATACTGTTAGTGTGGATTTGAAGCCTGGCACAAACAGACTTGTGGACTCTGGGAGAAGGCGAGGGTGGGATCTTTCAAGAGAACAGCATCGAAACATGTATATTATCTAGGGTGAAACAGATCACCAGCCCAGGTTGGATGCATGAGACAAGTGCTCGGGCCTGGTGCACTGGGAAGACCCAGAGGGATCGGGTGGAGAGGGAGGTGGGAGGGGGGACCGGGATGGGGAATACATGTAAATCCATGGCTAATTCATTTCAATGTATGACAAAACCCACTGCAATGATGTAAAGTAATTAGCTTCCAACTAATAAAAATAAATGGAAAAAAAAAAAGAAGCCTGGCACAGGGGAGGCTTGCAAGAAATGTTGGCCATGAGTAAATGGCCTAAATGAGTAAATGGACTAAATCTTTTGTTAACTATATCCTAGATTGTGTTCCATCTACGCCATGGCTTCTAAGTTCTGTTCATTCAAAGTCGAGCTTCTAATAAACCTGTGGGATCCTCTGAGAAATTCTTCTCTGGAGAGAGTGACAGTGACAATGAGGACATTTAAAAACATTTATTTAAAGGCATTTGCTTCTCCTCTTGCTCATTTTCTTTTTCACATGTATGGTTTTGGTTCTAGCTCAATGCTTTATCAGAGTTTGATGTGCACCTTAATGTATATATTATATGTATAGATATTTTATATAAATAGTTAATATATACTTATACATTATCTATTCTAAAATATATTTATATATATGTAATCTAAGGCTGGGAAAATAATCTGTGTAAGATAAAAAAAAGTAGGTTGGTAAAACAAAGTAAAATTAAGTTGTAGATTAAACCATGTTTAATCAGATTTTAGCTCTAGCCCTCAGACAATCACCTGGAAAATATTGGTGTTCTGTTCATTACTGGGGTAGTATTGTGGCAGGTAGAAGGATATTCCTATTGCCCTACTACTAGAAATGACCACTGTAAGTTCTCTCCAAGGGAAAATGAAGTCAAATGGTAGGCCCACTAAATGACCCAGCTCTTAGAACTGAATACCTGCCACTTTTAATCTATAAGCCAATATATCCTTGTCCATTACAGTTGGATTGGATGATTTTGTTAAAGATTTTTATACTTTTATTTCTTTTTCGTATTTTAAGTTAATGTCATAACTGTTTATTAAGTTTCTGGCTCTGTTAGCACTGGGGGCTCTGTGATGTGATAGAAAGAATAGGGCTTTAAAGTCAAATAGATATACAAGGAGCTGAATCTTGGTATTTTTTAATAACTTTGTGACTTTGAGAATGTTGAATCACTCTTAAAGCTTCATTTTTCTTTTTATGCTGTTTTAAGGGTTATATGAATTAATACATGTGATCTACCTGGTAAAGTGTAGGTAAGTAAATGTCTCACCCCCAAATTGTATTTGTCTGAGGAAGAGAAAAGAGGGTGAATATAAAGATAAGCAATTTAAAGTTAGCAAGCCATGTTAGTAAGCTAGTTTTAGTCATTCCTCTGAGATTCTTTTTTTTTAAATTATCTTTCCTTTATTTTGTTTAAATGAAAGAAATATACCAAAAGCTGTAACATAAATGAAAAACACATCTTGCCACAGGAACAAAGTTTATTGGAAAACCATCAAAAGTTATTTTTCCTCTATGAAAATGCCCAATACAAGAAATGGAACCCAAGAAGCAACATGACCAAGAAAATACAGTCTGAGGTCTTATAGATTGTACTACTATTTTGATAATAGATGACCTCTATCTATCCAAATGAACCAAAGCATTACTCAGCCAAATAAGCATATTTTTAAAAATTTTCTTTCCATGAAAATGAAAGTTATGTTTTCCATATCTATGCCATCTGATCTACATCATTATCTGATAAACTACCAAGGCAAGTAAATATCAAATAGATAGCTTCTGTGTTATCGCCAGGCACTGGGTGAGGCAGCCATCTGTCAGCAGCAGCTTGGGATGCAGGGCTCACAGATGGGCTGAGTGTAGGTTGTGAGGTTGATGGTTTCCAGGCCTGGGGTGGGCTGGGAAGAGTTGAGCAGGAAGCAGGTGGGCACACAGGGCTGAGGGATGTGGCAAGGTGGGGGGCAGTTGTCACAGCAGGTTGGCTCCAGTTGCCAGACTGTGTGTGGGCAGGTGCTGGGCAGGCAGACTCCACACCTGCAGAATTTGTCAGAGGAGCAGATGGTGGTGGCGGGGCTGGTGGGGACGCTGCAGCAGAGGGGAGCACAGCAAGCCATGGTGTTGGAAATCTGGTTTGCTTTTGGTTTCTAGGAAAGAAAGATGAGGTTTCTAGGATGAAATGTCTCTTCTCACTTTGGGACTCTTATATACTCCTCTTGTTGAGTGTTGGTCCAATCAGAAGACTTCCTCTTATTTACATTTATGCCACTCTTTTCCACTAAGATTCTCTAATCAGTTTGGTATTTACTTGTCCATTAAGAATTCCTGAGCTTATTCGGGTAATCATGTTTTTGACTCATTGACTTGTCATTAGATGATCACTTTTATCTTTACAGGGTTCTGGAATGCCAAATCTTGCAGAAATTATGGATAATGAATCCAAGTGACAATTCAGCTATAGTTTCAGAGGCTAAATTCTTCTCTTCATTCCCCCCCATAATTTTAAATAATATGCTTAACATGATATGATTTTTAATGAATAATTTCAGAATATGCAACTTGATTAACTGCATCAAGACATAGCTCCTTACAGATGAATGTTGCATGTGACTATATGCATATATACATCACAGATATATTTGCCTTATTTATTGATGATATAATTCAGTTTCTATTGAGCAAGCAAGGTGACAGCCAGAATAGACTAAGATGAAACCCTTTTCATTATTTTTAATAAATCTATAGTGAGTTTCCAAAGATTGTGTTGCTCTATGGAATTTGTAAAAAAACAGTTTATATTCTCAAAGTTGTACCAGTGTTGTAGTGAGTCAAAGTGTGAATCCACTGGAAAAGATTCACCCAGGGCTTTTTTTTATCATTGTTAAATATACCACTATAAGAAAATCACCTCAGTCTTCATTCATTTTCACAGGAATTATATACTTTAAAATGAGATGCAGGAAAGAAGAAATTATAAGGTTCACAACATCACAGTGGGTTCTTGAAGGGGATTTGATCCAATGTGATTTAGCACCATGGCATTTATAGAAATCATTTTTTTCACTGACTTACTTCCTACTTCGTATGTTTATTTGCTTTCATATCTTAGGGCTTCGATTAGATTGTAAATTCCTTTGAGGAATACCTTACACACATTCTTTGCCTCAATTCACCTTGATTTGCCTTACTGTAAGTTGGCAGATAAGGAAGTTGAACCAAGTAATCTCCCATGTGTAGTATACTATGATTCTAACATTTCTGCATACATCCCCCATGATCAGCACAAAATTATTCAGAAAGTAGAATCTAAATTACATAATTTGTTAAATAGCAAATGTACAGAATCTATTGTCTAAATTACAGATTTGTTGAATAAACACAATATACAGAATCTGGTGTCTCTGAGGAGACGTTAGGGAAGACCAATCTAGTCTGCCTAAAAGAGAAGGAAGTTGGCTAAAATAAAATACTAAATGTCATTGGTTAGTAAACCTCATATATTTTGAGAAGACGAACTTGTTTGTGAAGTTGGTTTGATTTTGACTTAAATATTGATGTTTATCATAAAACACATCAAATAGAAATGAAGGTTGGGGAATCCTAGGTACTTTATAACAATATTTTTTCTTTTGTCCTTCCTCTATTTGCTACTTCTCAAATCCTACTTGTCCCTCTAATTCCAGCTTGAATATCCTTCATAAAGAAATTTTAGGTGGTTCTTCTAGATGTTTTCATTCTTGTCTCTGCTTTCACATTTTATTCTACTATATATTGTAGTTTTTCATCTGTATTTGTCTTCCTTACTCCAAAGTTAACTCTTGAAAAGTGGGAATTGTGTCTTTGTCTCAACAGCAGCACTTAGGACAATGCCTGGAACACAGGCATTTAATAAATGTTTACTGAATTGCATTAAATAACAGATTAGAATGAAAAATTGTATGTATTTATTTTTAGAATGGCCTCTAATAATAATATAAAATACTACACAATGAGTGACATTTCATTTGTGAAGGGCTTTACAGTTGTCTGTTTTGATTTACATTCAAAAACTGTTCTGTTTTACATTCAAAGCTTCACCTAAACAAAACAATGAAAAAAAAAAGTGGCTCAGCTCAGTGTTTGGGGTCTCTTCTGCAAGTTTGTTGATCTCTAATTGCCAATTTCTTAGCCTCTTTAGGGATGTAAGTGAGTTACTTACAGAGGCAGGAAAAATATTAAAATTAAAAATAGATACTGACCTTGGGATTTAAAGTGATTCTAAGCTTAGAGTTTGATATAATATATTTTATTATCTGGGCAATTTTCTTCACATATTTACATATCCCTGTGCAACCTCTTTTTGGCTATGAGATTTATGTTGATGTCATCAGAAAGTTTAATTCTGCTGGACATATTTATGGGTTCATGATGCATACACGTGTCAAGAGTCAGGTAATTATGGCATTAGACATTGAGACAGCCCATGGTTTGGGAAAGAGTGGTGTTTATTTAAAGCAAGGAGGTCCATGACAGCATTTTTTCCACTTTTTATTTGAAATCATTGTTCAAAATGTAGAACACTTCTGCAAAACTGAAGGCACAGAATCAGAACATTTTTTCTAGAGCTTCTTATTAAAGGCCATTTGCTGAGCAGCTTTTAACGATAATTGCAGTCCCTTAGGGCAGTGCGGGCAAGCTCACTGAGATATCTTTGGCTACTAGGATTTTGCTCCACCCTCACAGGGCTGGACGCAGGTTGTGACAGAGATTCCGCTCAGGTTTGGAGTCGGGCGGCAGCTGTTGAGCAGCCAGCAGGTTGGCACGTAGGAGTCGGGTACGCAGGAGTCAGGCACAAGGCAGGGTGGGTGGCAGGTGTCACAGCAGGTGGGCTGAAGGAGCATGATATCGTGTGGGCAGGTGCTGGGCAGGCAGGCTCCGCCTCGACAGCATACATCTGAGGAGCAGATGGTGGTGGTGGGGCCGGTGGGGACGCTGCAGCATCCCTGGAGACGAGACTCACAGCAAGACATTCAAAGGATCAGGTAGACGTTTGTTGCAAAGGAAGGTGTTCTATAAAGTTGTTCTTGGTGAGTCTTTTATAGCTATCCAGCTCAGGGAACGTGGCTCCCGTCTATCAGAATGCTTCCTGTTGTTGTTTGTATAATCCCCCACAAATAACTAATTTATTTATCTGCCACAGGAGGAGCACTCCTTCAGTGTTATTTGCTTGTTGCTACATTTGAACTTGCTTCCTATTGTAGTTTCAAAATGCTGTTGATATAGGTTCTCTACGTACTTAACCATGGCAAATACATCAGTATTTACTCCGACTTTCCTCTTTTTTACCAACCAGAATCTGTTCTTACAAATGATCACTACTGGGTGTGAAGAGTTAGAAGTTGATTTCCCTTAGAAGTAAGAAATGATCCCTCTCAAAAGATATGTCCTGGGCTTCCCAGGTGGTGCTAGTGGTAAAGAACCCGCCTGCCAATGCAGGCAACATAAAGAGACGCAGGTTCAATCTCTACGCTGGGAAGATCCCCTGGAGGAGGGCACAGCAACCCACTTCAGTACTCTTGCCTGTAGAATCCCCTGGCCAGATGAGCCTGGCAGGCTACAGTCCTGGGTTGAAAAGATCGGACGTGACTGAGTGACTTAGGATGCAGCACACAGCAGGGATATATTTGGGAAATCAAAATCTGTGGGATTTTTTTTTCCCCCAGCAGATTCACCTTGCTATATTTTCATGGATTTGAGAAAATAAACGAATATCAAATATATGTAACATGATCTTGATTAGAAAGTTCAGAGCCTGCTAGATGATTTTCTGTTGTTTCACTGCATTATCTATATATGAAATTATGCATAAGCATAAATAAACTCTCAGTTTTAGAAAGGATGTCACTTTTTTAGCCCGAAGTCAGAACATATTAAAATATAGGTTCTTGAGACTATTTGTGTCCTGAAAAATAAATTTGGCTTTCTTTGCAAAGCAGCATGAAAAGTTCTTATTTTATTTTATTTTTTTAAGGAAAACCAAACTGCGAACCTGTTCATTCCATTTTCCAAAACCACTGCCTAAGCCGATAATCACTGTCTATCAGACAGGAAGCTTTAAAAGTTCCCTTCCATTTTACTTCAGTTACAGTGTTAACAAGTCATAGCTAAAGCTAGTATGTAACTAGAGTAAAGGAGACAGATCAGCAAATCCATTTGTTATAAGTCAAGTAGTTATTGATTCTCGAACATATTCTGAAGAGACTGGTAGAGACTTAAAAAAAAAATAGAAGACATGGTGCCTGCCCTCAAGGAGTATGTGGGCTGATAGAAAAGGCTAGAAATTCGTTTGCAAATGGTTCAAACAACATAATTTAGTACGTGACAGTGAAATGAAAGAGATTCAGAGATACTTTTGAATCATGACTAGCACTTACATGCTGTGAGACCTAGATCAAATTATTAGACGTTTTGGGCTTTAGTTTTCTCAACTATAAATTTGGGGAAAATATAATCACCTGTTACAGTCTTATTATTAGTATTAGTATTAAAGACCAAGTGAGAATTAATCAGGCAAATCATTCATCACTGTGCTTATTAGATAAGTCTAATAAATAGCAGTTTCTCCTCCAGGGACTGTGAGAACTCCCACAAGACAAAATGTGATGAAAAAGGGTTGAAATGACCAGAAGTCTTCACGGAGGATTTGGAATAAGTTGTTTTGATGAGAAACACTTAGAAAAGAGGTAAGTGCTTTTGGGGCAAGGAAAACAGTGAGTTCTGTGATGCTGTTCTACCCCTACTCTCTGCATGGTCCCAGCAGAACTGGTCCATCCATCCTTTTTACCTCTACTGTATCCTATATCCACCCAAAAGACTTTGTTACATTGTTTTGTACACATGCTGATTCTCTTTACTAGGGTGTAATCTCCTTCAAAGCAGGAACTATGTCTCATTTTTCCTG